TAGCAGACCTCCATCAAGAGGCAGAAATTCCCAAAGTAGATTCCGAAATTGATGATATGACAACTAAATTTATTCAAAAATGCAATCTTTCTGAACATGCTTTAATAAGCAATTTGTACATAGTAGGTTAAGTGTATATAGTAGAGTAGGTTAGTCTTAAGCTGTAAATAGTAGTATTAAGTAGATTCTCTTCAAATTCTAAAAACAAAACAAACCAATCCCACCAAGGTGGTCGACCGTGTACTAAGTCTAGGACTAATCCTGTAAAACAAATTTTAAATTTTGCCCATATCTAAAGATGAAGAAAGCAATTAAATCACTTAGTAAAAATTTATATGGTAATCGTCCAAGTTAAACTAAAATAAAGATCATTTAAACTTTAAAAAAAAAAAAAAAAAAAAAAAAATTCATGTTTCATTCTGTATCCTGCATTTAACCATTGAAGAGGAAGCAGCGAATAAATAAAGGTAGAATTGAGAACAGTGTCTCATTCTGATTCTTTTCGTCCGAGAACGGAGATTTCCCGAGCATTCATTCGTGCTTCGTCCAGTTCCTGTTTGTTCATCCACTGGTTGCATGTGGTGATCGATTCATCTTCCATAAGTTCCACCTAGTGGACACTTTTAAAAGAGTTGAACTCTAGACTAACATTTGAAAGGGGCGCAAGAGCCAAAATGTAAACAAACCATATTTTGCCACATATAGAGAGAATAGTTCACAAACTACTCGATAAACACGAAAAAGCAGAAGAAAATATCACTTCAAATCATCTGGTTGTTATGCCTTGCATCTGGTATCTGGTTGTTATGCCTTGCACCAGAACTACGAATTATATCGTTTTAATATGCCAAACGTATTGAGTCTGTAGTATCTAGTCACGCCCGTTTCATTTGAAATGCATCCGATTGATAGTTCACGTGTAAACAACAAACAAAAAGAAGACCAAAAAATCTCCGGGCGTAATTCCACTCTCACAAAATTTGCGAACGAAGAACCAAGGCGGAACAACAAACAAAAAATCTGGAGGGTGTACTTCCACGGCATATCACCAGTGTTGGCAGTTCAAAGGGTGGAAAATCCGGGGGGTAACAACATGTATGAAATTATCAGGGCGTATGATGTTTTCTTCTCGATTTCACGACAAAGAAAACTTTTTTTTAAGTTTTTAGTGATGCATGATGATAGATTACACTATTAACTATATGACAAGCTTATAAAATCTCCCAGAAAATGGAAAGTCGTGAAATAGGATTAATTTTTAGGTCATCAAAATTCAGAAGCGATTTTCTCGATATGGTCATTTTGGAATTACGCCCTTTTCAAATGTTAGTCTAGAACTTTCCTGTTTCCCTGCTCATCGGAGCCTTGTGTTCGGCAGTTTTGCCGTGGTCCTTCGAGAGAGAGAGAGAGAGAGGTTTACTGCTCTGGTGGCTGCAGTGGTTACAGTTGTTGGCAGCTCAACGACTGGTGGCTGAAGAGTTATCAGCGACCCATCGTTCCTACGCTGTCCGCTGTGGTGTGCGCAGCCAACGGTGCATCGTCCCTTCGCTGGTAGCTGGTAGCTGTGGTGTGCACAGCTGTCAGTGGCTCATCGTCCTACTACTGGTGGCTGTGAGGTGCACAGCTGTCGGTGGCTTGATCACGAGTTGTGTCGTGGTCCTTCGTTTGAGAGAGGCATCCCGTCGCTGGTGGCTGTAGCGTGTACAGCCAACGGTGACTCTTCGATCCATACACTGGTGGCTATGAAGTGCATAGCTGTCGGTGGCTCGATCACAAGGTAGGTTTTCGTCTGTGCTGTTGTGACAAGGGCAATAATCTACCCCAAGAGAGATTGAGTACATAACACATTCAATATGATAAGACGTCTGAGAGTGGTTTCGAATAATCCGCGGAGCTCTAGGATCAGTTTAATGAATTGATCATATTTACGGATGTTCCAGACTTTTTTAATGGACCATCCCATGGTCTCCAGAGTCCATATGCCGATCATAACTTCAAATTCATTCTGATGAGATGTCTATGAGTGGTTTCGACAAAATCGCGGAGCTCTAGTTTCATGAATTGACCACTTTTACCGATGTTTCGGATCTTCTGGTGCACCATTCCGTGGTCTTCAGAGTCTATATTCCGGTCACAACTCTGAATTCATGCTGACAAGGCGTCTCTGAGTGATTTAAAAAAAAAGTGGAGCTCTAGGATCAGTTTCCTGAATTGACCACTTTTACGAATGTTCCGGATCATTTGGAGTACCATCCTGATTCCATTCTGATAAGACGCCTTTAAGACGTTTTGAAAAAAAAACACGAAGCTCTAAAATCATTTTCATGAATTTACCACTTTTACAGATGTTCCGGATCTTCCAGTGAACCATCTCGTGGTCCCCAGGATCCATATTCCGGTAACAACTCCAAATTAATTCTGATAAGACGCCTTTAAGGGGGTATTCCCGATCTTTTTTTTCAAAAAATCAAATTTTTTTTTTTCACGTTTTTTTGTACTTTAGACTATATACTTTCATCCACCCAAGCCGTTATCCGATCAGCGAATTCGGTGTCCAGGCATAGCTGACTAATGGTAAGAACCCCCAAATGGTTTTAACTAAAGTCAAAACTTTAAACGCGTTTTTCTCGAAACCACATTTTTTTATCGGGCGAAGATTTTTCTCAGAAACTATAAGAGATATTGACTTGAATCTTTGCGCATTTTGTTCCTTATTAAATTCTTTGGAGCTTCTCCCACTTTCAGCCAAAAATATTAACATTTAACATTGTTTGAAGCACCTTAAAGCTGCAAAAAAGCGGGCTAAAAATCGCCTGTTTTTTCATATGGCCGCCATTTTGTTAATTTGCAAGATTTTTTGCTGCCAACGGGAGAAGCTCCAGAGAATCTTATCAGATTATTAATTTCATCACGAAATCTGTTTCAGATGAAGCCGTTCCAGAGAAAAGTCTTCGCCCGTCCAGGCGTTTGCGGCGAACAGGGGTCTGTTTGCCGCCATTTTGTGACGTCAATAATGTCTTTTTTTATGTCGAAAAAAATTTATTTGTAAGCTTTAATGTTCAATAAACAAGAATCCCAAAGAGTTAGGCGCATTACTATTCATTTTCCTTGAAAAAAAATTAATTGAAAAACAGGCCGAAAAAAGGCAAAAGATTGGGAATACCCCCTTAAGAGGTTTCGTAAAAAAAACACGGAGCTCTAGCATCAGTTTCATGAATTGACCACGTTTACGGATGTTCCGGATCTTTCGGTGAACCATTACGTGGATCCCAGCACCCATGGTCACAACTCCGAATTGATTTTGATAAGACGTCTTTAAGAGGTTACGAAGACACCACTGAGCTCTAGGATCAGTTTTATGAATTGTCCAATTTTACGCAAAATTCAGGATTTTCCGATGGACCATCCCGTAGGCCACTTTTACCTATGTTCCGTATATTCAGGTGAACCAATCCGTGTTCTTCTGCGGCTATATTCCGGTCAAAACTGTGAATTCATTCTGACAAGGCGTCTATGAGTGATTTAAAAAAAAAATTGAGCTCTAGGATCAGTTCCATGAATTGACTACTTTTACGGATGCTCCGGGTCTTTCGGTGAACCATCAAGATTCTATTCTGCTAAGACGTCTTTAAGAGGTTTTGAAAAAACCACGCAGCTCTAGGATCAGTTTCATGAATTAACCACTTTTACGGATGTTTCGGATCTTCCAGTGGACCATCTCGTGGTCCCCAAGATCCATATTCTGGTCACAACTTCAAATTAATTCTAATAAGATGTCTTTAAGAGGTTTCGAAAAAACCGTGGAGCTCTAGGATCAGTTTCATGTATTGACCACTTTTGCGGATGTTGCGGATCTTTCGGTTTGCCAGTCCATAATCCCCAGAGTACATATTCCGGTGACAACTCCTAATGCATTCTGATAAGACGTCTATGAGTGGTTTCGAAAAAAAAACCGCGGAGTTATAGGAATTTCATACTTTCACGGATGTTCCGGATCTTTCGGTAGACCATTATGTCCATATTCTGGTTACAACTCCAAATTCATTCTGATTAAGAGGTATCAAAAAGAAAACCGTGGAGCTCTATGATCAGTTTCATGAATTTACACTTTTACGGATGTTCCAGATCATTCAGAGTACCATACTGTTGTCCCGTGCGTTCATATTCCGATAACTACTCCGAATTGATTGTGATAAGGCGTCTTTAAGAAGTTGCGAAGAAACCACTGAGCTCTAGGATCTGTTTCACGAATTGACAAACTTTTACGGATGTTCTGGATCTTCCGGTGCACTATCCCGTGGTCCCCTGCGTCAATTTTCTTGTCACAATTCCGAATTCATTCTGATAAGATGTTTATAAGTGGTTTCTAAAAAAAAAAAACGCGGAGCTCTAGCATCAGTTTTACGAACTGACCACTTTTACGGATGTTCTGGATCCAAGGGGGAATCAACTCTGCACACTGTGCCGAAACACAGTATGACACACTGTTTGGCACGTTAAGGCACACGCTGATTTGTATGACACGAACAATATTATATAAACTTGAACTGAAGTTTTTCTAATCGATTTACCCGTTGCTAAGGTTTGTTTACTCCAAATGAAAATATCCGTCAATACTGGTGAAACAGTGATTAATCCTAGAATTTTAAAAGTTTATCGAGATGTGCCAAGTTACTTTTCAAATTCCATGCTACTTCCCGTTTTGCTGGTCCCCCTGCCAATCACATCTCATTCTTCTTGCAGTTCCACAAAGCGCCAATCAACATTCAAGGCCAGGGGGAAGTGCGCGATCGTCGAACCAATCATGTTTAGCGCAACAAAGCGGTGGCGAGTCGCACCTCCCAGCAGATAGACCACACCACGCCGCCGCACGACGCAACTAGCAGCAGCAAATAGTGAAAGTAAACACGCGGTAGCTAAAGTTGGTAGTGTCTCGAAAGGTCGCGGTAACAACAAATCGATCTAACCGCAAACATAGCAGCCAGAGAAATATCACTTACCATTTTCAGCGCCAACTGAGTCACGACCGATGGCGGCAGCCCCCGCCGACGATGATGATGACTCATCCACTTCGGCGATCAATTCTCGTTTAACCAGGGTACCACCGTCGTCGATTGCTTTGTTACTGCTGCTGCTGCTGCTGCTGGGAGCACCAAAGGTCCTCCTCAGAGGGCCTGCCCTTTGGAATGCATTCAAAAACTGCACCCGTTTCTTCTTCGGTAGGGTGCAGAAATTTTTGACATCGATGTAACTGATTGAACTCGATTCGTCACCGACACTTTCTTTCACGATTTCTTGTTTCGGCTCTTCCCTAGTGGCCACTTCTTCGTCCGACTGCCCCTCGGAATCCAACCCATCAATCTCATCCAAGTAGGCATCCAACTCGGACAGATAATCGTGCAGCTTGGCATTTGGATCTTCCAGGAAACTATCCACAAACTTCTGATTCAGCTTCAACTTTTTCTTCTTCAGGGTGCAATAACTCCCGATTGGGTTTCCTACCTCGCTGCGATCCACGAGGGACGTTTCGCGCACATCACTCACCCCGCTTCCATGGGGATCACAACCATTCACTTGATCCACCGCCTTCTGCGACGCGGATCGTTTCTTTCGAAGCGTGCAGAAATTTCCCACACTTTCATCTTCCGCCGCATCCCCTTCTTCCCCCTGGTGCTGCTCCAAGCTCTTCTCGCAAAAATTCTCAAACGTACACATATTTTCTTCGTACAGCAAATTTCTATTCAGCTCACTCCGGTCGTCCTCGCTGTCCCGGAAGTAGAATGCCCCACGTCCCCCGGTAGCCTCACGATCAACACCGACCGCATTGCCCATCGTGCTCTTCTTAGGACCTCGTAGCGTACAAAACTGACCAAGCCGGGAGGCCTCGGATTGAGGACTGACGCTACCTTGACCATCGTTATCATCATCATCATCATCATCGTCAGCAGCCGTGCCGTTATTAGCGGTCCCATTCAAATTGATTCTGCTTTTCCGAAGGGTGCAATAGTGACGTGGGTCACCACCGCCTTCGGAGCCGTCGATTGTACCCATTTTCGGTATGGTCGGTGTGTTTTGAAGACTGGGTGTCTTAGAAGTGGAGGTGTAAGATTTGACACCTGGCGGAAAATAACAGATCTGTTATCGTGGCAGGTCGCAACATCTTGCGCGGAGCTGGTGTCGTCGAGTCTGGTCTGAAATGGACGGCAGGTTAAGAACAAAGAAGATGGTGTTAATTATGTTTGGTAGGCGGTTGTTTTGGAAGCGGAATGATGGCAACGGTCGTGCTAAACGTTTATTCGCACGATTCTTTAGTCATAACTAAAATGATTTTTAATTTGGGCTAGTTAAAAACAAAAAAAAAGTCTATTTATAACTCAGCAAAATTTAAAACCTTTACTTAAAGCTCTACAACTCGATATTCAAGGGACCATCGAGTTATAGAATTATCTAGTTCTAGAATAACAATCTCATACAAAATCGCTATCACAGTAGCCATGAAATTAATTTTTACTATGGTTCTATAACTCGATATCGAGTTAGTGGACATCGAGCTGTGGAGAGTTGACTGTAGTTACAAATAAATTTTAAAAATTAAGGGCCTGGTTTTTTTTGGTTCTGGAGTTTGCATACTTCCTACAAATTTGAACAAGTTTTCGAAATTCTGAACTTAAATGCTTCAAGCATTTTCAAGAATTTGGAGTCAAGTTCATGGAATTTTATTATAAAAAACTAATACCAAGAAAAAAACAAGCGTTTTGAAAAACATCAAGGCCAATCTGCTTTCAAGGTAGTTCTGGGGAATTTTAGATTTTATGTGCAACCTGAGATAGTTTTGAGTAGAATTTCTAGAAAACGCTGAATTGAATTCAAAGTTAATTTTAATGAAAACTCATAGTAATTTCTGACGAGCAAAACTCCTGTGAACGTCAGAAGAAAATTCCAATGGCATTTTGAGGATAATTTCATTAGGTTTGTGGGAGAAAACTAATCAGGAGCATAAGTCTTTCGAAATATTGGGGATGAGGGGATGAGGAAAGGAGGATTGCAATTAATTCTGAGAATAACTTCAGAAGTTCTTTCAAGGAATTCGGAAATGAATTCCAGGAGAGTTTTCCAGTGAGCAGAAATGCAAATTAATTCTTAGAAGGCTTTCAATGTGAGTAGAATTCCAAGGGAAGGAATGAAATTCAGAAGAAAATATGAAATGAATTCTATAACATTTATGAAAATCTTTCCAAAGGGTTTCTTACTGAGAAGAATTTCAAGTTAGTTCTGAGGAAAATAAAAAAATGGAGGATAGTTTCAACGAGGAATATTTCAATGCAATTGCGAGAAGTATATGCTGGTGACAAGGGGTAAGTCACTCAGCACATTGTGCCAAAATTAGATTCGGCACACCTTCGGCACAATCACGTAGGCATTGGATTGTTGTAAATAAAATGGGAGCACTGCTGGACAACTGTCATTGAAGTTGTTCACAACATTACGTGCTGTTAGACTGTATATTCAGGAATATCCTCTATATTCTGCGGTCAAGCGTGTCACAGTGTATGAAGTGAATAAGCTTTGACGCAATAGGCAAATTATTGGCGCATTGCAGTGCATTATTCGGCGGTCTAATTGTGCGTTTCGCGGTGCCATCGCGAAACAGTTCGCGATCACTCACGGTGACGAGGAGAGCAATTCTACGACGATCGAAGCGCCAGGAATGGTAACGAAGCAGCCAGGAGCGACAGCAGACATACTGGATTCGCAGGATAATTGGGAAGTAGTGTGCATGTTTATTATCAAGGTGGTCTGTTGCATGTGGCTATCGAGAGGCAACAATAAATGATTGAATGTGCATGCGAATTTTTACTTTATTGCGTAACCTTGTGGGTTCTCTCAAAGGCAAGTTGTTTGGTCTCGAAAGCCTGCTGGAATTTTCGGTTTCACTCTAAGACAGGGCACGGACTCGTGGATGACTTTCCGGAAGCTTGTTGGTCAGAATCGTTCTCGTATAGACGAAATCATGAGCTGCTGTCCAGCATCTTACGATGGTAGTGGACAACGACGATGTGTGTGAACGGATGATGTTGGTCGAGAATGTTCGGGTGTTTGCGACGGGTCGCAATCGATGCGTGACGAAGACGACTGCCAGAATATTTGATGATTCTCGAACTTCTCTGCCATTCTGCAGATCTTTAAGCTCGTGCGAGAAACTTTCTCGTACCAATACCTTCTGAGCTTCATCAAGTTCGAGAGCGTTATGAGGAATTGCAATTCGTTGGTTGTATTTTGTAGCGAAATCTGAGCATCCATGCAGTGAGGCGTATGAGATTCATGTACGATGATCAAAGGCTGAATATGTCACTTGGGACTGTCACTGGAAGTGCTGCCGATACACTTTTGGCTTCGAGATCCGTGGGATCGAATTCCTCTTCACTGATTTGTGGGGCTGAAGGCCAGTTGTGTTCGTCTGAACTTAGCCAATACGGACCGTTAAACCAAAGCGATTCGTATTGCAGCTGAGCTGGGATCATCCCACGGGAAATTATGTCTGCAGGATTGTCCAATCCTGCTACTTGGTTCCAAGCGCCATTCTTGGTAATATGCTGAATCTCCAATACCTCCAATATATCTGAACGGTGACGAATAAATCCAACATTGGACGGTTGAATCGGTCAGACAGATCTAGGCGTGGAGTGGAGAGCCGTTTGTTTCCTTTCTTCAAGTTGTCAAATGATGCAACACGTGACTTCACTGTCAAAAACCTCACAAACACAAAACACCAAAATTTCACACACCCACCACTTCCCGTGTCATCCTCAATCCGACGTATCCTTGCGCTTTCAAACCAAAACATTTAAGGTGTCAGAAATACCGGGTTGCCGGGATGGGTATTTTACAAACAATCACAGCTTGCTCTATGACCGGCACAATCGGCACACTTGCGGCACATCTTCCTTGAACATCATGGACTATACAGAGGTCTTCGGTACTACTTGAAAGTGCTCAACATTTTCCTGCAGTTAATAAAAATGCCTTGAAGTTCTTTTGTAGTATGATAAACTGGCCTGATGCTCACAATACTTCTAATACAATTGTTAAACTTCCCTGAATAATATAGAAACTTCTAAAGCTGCCTCATTTTTTTTCTAACTATCTTCTCTAAAATTTTAAGAATGCGCTGATGATCTTCTTTAAATAAATATGTAATTCTCTGTTCTTTCCTGAAGTTCACAAAATTTCTCCAAAGTTTATGCAGTGCTCATGACGCTTATTGTACTGCCCTGAATATAATTGAACTGTCCTAAAGATTCCATGAACTTCTGAACTGTGAACACTATAATAATCTCATCTCTAAAGTTCTCTGAAAATCTGGGAACTTTTTAAAATTTCTCGCTAATTTTATGAAACTAATGACCTACCCCTGAAATTCCCCCTATTTTTGGACCTTACTAAACTTCTTTGAAATGCTCCTGCATTTTCCTAAAGCATGAGTCATTTATTACCTGGACGCACTGTTTATTTTACAGCAGTGCTCCTAGCGGTCGAACCGGGAATGTTTTGACAACAGTTTGTTTTGAAATGTTTCCTCTCTCAGTGCTGAAAAGTTTATCATGATTAATTTTGTTTAAAAGAAGTTATACTTGATGAAAGCTGCGAACCGAAAGTTAATTTTGGACGCCCACTTGGAAAATCCGACGTGGTCAGTGTTCTCAAGCGTTTCCGTGAGTGGCATACAATCGATCGGCAGGATCATAGCAAGCGACGTAATGGAACTAAGAATCAATAGCTGCATTTGAAGGTGTTGAGAACGGTTAGGACAAACCCAGGGCTGTCGGATTATGATATCGCCAAGAAATTCAATGCTAGCCAAAGCACCGTCAGAAGGATTCATCAGCGAGAAGGATTTCGGTCTTTTCGGGTCAAACAGGACACTGAAGCAGAATCCAGTGGCCAAAAGACATGCCCGGAAGTTGTACCATGAGGTTCTTACAAAGTACAAAGGATGCATCCTCATGGACGACGAAACGTACGTGAAGATGGATTATGGAAAGCTTCCCGGACAAAAGTTCTATAAAGCCAGCTAGGGTGATGTCCCTAGCAAGTTCAAATTAGAAAGCTTATGATCTGGCAAGGTATTTGCAGCTGCGGACTAAAAACCCAGGTTTTCGTGACAAGCAAGACTATGTATTCCAAAATGTACAAGCAGGAGTGCCTGAAAAAAAACGGATTCTTCCATACATTAAGGCTCACATTGGACCTGTTAAATTTTGGACTTTTTTTCATTCCAAGAGGTTATGGGCCCAGGCGATTTCTCGAAGCAGTAAGAAAATGTTCACCGGAGCATGAGATTCTCAAGCGATCCTGCAGCAACCTTTCAAGCCTTGCACCAACCGAGCGGTTAAATGGTCGTGAGAACTGGTGCGCGTAGAGACGTACCTCGAGCTAGAAGAGCTATGGGAAGCGGCGAATCAAGATGGAACCCTGCCAGCGGTTGACGTGAGGAAGTGCAGAAGCGCACGAGTGAAGATTATTCTCGTGAGGTTCTCGTTCTCGAAGACGGTTTGTGAGGTTTGGGCGAAGCTTGAGGCAGCATTCGAAGACACCGGTCTGACACGCCGGGTTGTGTTACTCAGGAAGCTCATCACGACATCCCTATCGTCGCGCGGAAGCGTGGAAACGTATGTAACGGGAATCATTACCACCGCTCATCAACTTCGTGGTGTTGGTCGCAACATTTCCGAGATGTGGATTGACTTCCGGAGGAGTAGATGGAGATGGCGTTGGAGAATTCCGGCACCACATCACCGGTAACAGCATCAAGACGAAGCTACCACAGGAAGTGCAGCTCTCATCGGACAAAACGGCATTCGTTGGAAGAAAAACGTTTCCATGGAAACCCAAGCAAGTTGTAGCCGATAGCAGGTCAGCTGAACAGCCAAAAGGTCCGAAACGCAAGCGTTGCCATAGATATGGGCACATTGCTAGAGAATACCAAGAGAATAGCGAGAAGATGAAGGGGTCAGCTTTCTGCACGGTACTAGCAACGAACAGTTACTGTAGTCCTAGCAACGTTTGTTTGATGTTAGATTCAGGCGCATCGGACCACTTCACCATGAATCGTCAACTACTGAGTGGCCAGCAAGTGGCAGCCGATAAAGGTGTAATGACGATAACTGCGACAGGTACCGTAAAACTTTTT